TTTATATTGTGATTTGTCTACATTTTTTATTTTCTAATCATTTTCAATCCAGAAAATGGTGGATCCTCGACGTTGCACTCGTATCCTGCCGAGGTTGGCGAGATTTTTTTGCCTAATTATCTCATTTGAGCAAAGTATTTTGGTCGGCCAGCATGACCTCTCAGGCCCAGACATGTGCAATTTTAAGTAGGAAAACGATGACAAAGCATGGGAGTCTGCGGGTAATTTACTGTTTACTTTCAGACAAACCAAAACGGATGGCCTAGGATTCAACGAAATGGCCAAGTCATTCCAGAAGGAATCCCAATGGCTGGGTGACAACCATTACACACACATCCATCGGGGTCCAACATTTTTGAACTTGCAGTAGATAATGATATATATATATATATTATGTATATATATATATATATAAATGTGCATCAGGTTTTGGAAGGCTTGGGTTTGCACTGATCATTTCTAATCACCATGTTATTTTGGCTCAAGTGCCTTGATCCAAAATAGCACCTTTTTGCTTTTTGGGTCTGGGATGGAGTGTGGAGCGACCACATAATCCTCTTCGCCCCTTTGTATTTCTTGGGTAGAGGAACTACTCTTCGGATATATGTCTACGCCAGGCATCCATGTGGCGGTCCATACTGATGAGGTACTCCTTTCTACAGGTGCTTGGATGGACTTCAGCCAGCATATCAACACGCTGGTGCTTGGTGGACAGCTTGATGGGGCCAGGGTTTTGTGGGGATCAATGTTTGAGGTGGTGCACATGGGAGGTGACCCATCTACACCAGTCCTGCAATCACATGACATGCCACCCATCAGACGCATGCTCTGTTGCAAAACCCCTTGTGTCCGATGTGAAACTGGCCGGGGCGGGCTTCAATTCCCATTCATCGGAACTTGGGCCCGCAGAGTTGTCTTCGCTCAAGACGGAGGGACCGTCGCGGCGACTTGGGATAGGTATCATGCCAGTCCCCATGAGAAGTTGGATCTGTGCAGATGTACGGCTCAGGGCATGCAGTGGCGGACTTCATCCCCAACCACCTGGTGAAGCTAACCGACCGTCTTGCGTTGGGTCTTGCCGGAGAGTCTCAGAGATCTCAGAGCTACTTCTTTGCTCAATGGAGGCTGTGGCAATGGGGCGACGGAGTTTGGTACGAGCCCACCTTTTCCATGCCAGAGCACCAGGGCGCTCGATGCGATGCGGGGAGATTCATCAGGATGCTCCTGAGAGCTGTTGAAGCTGAGCTCGACTTCATCCCTCCCATCTGCGTCGTGTGCAACATGCCCAGGTTCTCGGAATGTCCAGGGTGTGGAACACACTAGTGCGACGGATGCCGAGACTTCCTTCCCTTTTGTGCGATGTGTGGCGATAGCTCCGGTGACGATGTCTAGAGCCAGAGTCCCTTCAGGAGCTGCAGCCTATAAAGGTAGAGGTGCTACCTGCTGCTACCCTTCGTGCTATGAAGATCTTGGCGAGGTCTGCTTGAGGGTCATATGTGCTTCCCAAGGAGCTACCTTGGATCGTGAAGCGAACAGGCCACACTTTGGCTCAGTTGGCGCTGCCAGCTCAGGGCCTGCCGAGGATCGAGGTGCGATCCACCCCCTTCCACTGCCCTGTCAGGTCAGGTTTGGGAATCTTGTCGAAGCAGGTGGACCCAACTTGTGGCCCCCGGTATTGGCTTCAAGCTGCGGGCGCAACTGTCTTGGCCATGGCGGGTGCTATGCTGTGGAGGCAGCAGCCGGTCCATTGGATTCTGCTACCGATTTGGACCAAGTGCAGCAAGTGCGGGTGACGGAGTTTCGAGAAGTCGACAGCTTGGCAGTGATTCTGACTTTGCGTTCTGTTTCAACACCAATGAGGAGGCGAAATTGGCGGGTGGAGATTTTCTCGCAGCCGCCTGGGCTCTTCCAGCTCAGCCTCCTTCTCCGTCAGGGGGCCTTCGTCCAAGGCGGATGTTCCAATGTCGAGGAGGTCCACAATCCGCCTTCGGCCAGCTGATGGTCAGCCTGAGCAGATCATGAACAGAGTGGCTGGCTTGACACAGGTGTTCATGGATGCTGGAATGATGAAGCCTATGGGCCAGATTTCTGAGGGGATGTTTACCGAATGGAAAACTTGAGTGGCCAGACTTTCCCAGGAAAAAGTCACTCACGCTGACAAAGCAACAATCATCAATGCGGTGCGGACCTATGCTGCTTGCCATAGTGACTGCTTGTCGAAACTGCTGCTTTGAGCAGTGCCTTTGTGCAAAATATGAAGATGAGAAATATATTCTTGTCAACTTTTGTTGCTTTGAGCATGGCCTGTGTGCAAAGTATGAGGGTAGGAGGAGTCAATGGCAACGATCAAGTTCGTTTGCCATGCAAATTCAAAGCAAGGCAACCAGCCGTGGGTAACTCAAAAAACCAAAACTTAGTCTATCTGGTCGGCTGGCATATGGATCGTTTATGTGGTCGGAAGACCCCTGTTGGAACTCACAAGCACTTCACGGCAGCCAGGGATCGCGGACTTACGATCCTTCGTGGACACTGGCACTAAAGACCCAGTGAGGCCTTTCAACTCCTTGCGGTGGCTCTAACCATGCCAATTGGTGTGACAAGGGTGCTTAAGGTACAGGCACCTCTTGTCATCCACCCCAGTGACGCTGACGGTCTCGACGCTACATGCCCACTGCGCCGGGGAAAACAAGCCCACAACAGGGCAGGCTTCGATTCACATCGGGCTTCTGCTGGGGCGAGCACCGTTGACTAGCTGACTAGCTTTGAGATGATCATCACGATCCTGGAAGCTCAGCCCAAAAGGCATTTTTGGCTCACGAACCATGCCTGGTCGCGTATTGTCGCTGCATCTGATGCAGCACAAGATGAAGCACGCACAGGGTCAGGAGGCTACCTGATTCTGTGGGGATCTCCTTTGCCTCGACCTCGCGAAGCCTTTGTAGCTGATATCCCAGACGAGTAATTTGATTGGTTGGAGCCATGCTCCCAAAAGATAGCACAGCTGGAAATGCTCATGATTGCGCCCTCATGAAGAGAGCAGACAGTTTTCGACGACACCGTGGTTTTTGGTTCATTGACGTGGCCAGTCTGATGTGCCTGATTAGAGGAAGAAGCGATGCGAGGGATTTGGAAAGAATAGCCCAGTTCATCCACATAGTGCTCTTTGCAGTGGAGGCTGTCCTCTTTTGGGAGTACATCCCAACAAAGTCGAATTGGGCTGATCCGATCTCAAGACTTGGAGCCAGAGATCCCTGGCACTCCAGGCAAGCCTTTTGTAGATTTCAGTCAGAGCTCTCTGTACAGCTCATAGACATGCCATTTCCGGCGATCGTAAAGATCGTCCAATTTCTTTACTGCTTTGGGGACTAGTGCATTGGGAGTGTATCCAAAATGGATGCATGCCAGAGTGTCTGACATATCCCACCAGGCGGGCCTGGTAGAACTGGTCAGGCTGGAGTGACCAGCTACCCAAAGCAAATCCTGCGAGCTAGCAGGTTGGGCGACCTTTTGAGCTTGGAGGGAAAATATAGAGTTGTCCGTTGGAGTAGCCTCTGGGGTGAAGAGAAATGTATATGTGCATCAGGTTTTGGAAGGCTTGCGTTTGCACTAATCACCATGTTATTTTGGCCCACGCGCCTCAAAATAGCATCTTTATGCTTTTCCCCACCCAACACCCACCCTGAGTTCTGGTCGGCCTTGTTGCCGTGCCATCGCTCTTGAAGGCTCCGCTGGAGTTGGGGTTTACGCTAGTTAGCGATCTGGCCAGTTCCCTCACGGGAAACCCCTCATGCCCTCATAGAGTGTCTATGCAGGCTGAGGGGTGAGGTGGGGTTGGCGTACCCCGGGAGTGTATCCAAAATGGATGCATGTCAGAGTGTCTGACATATCCCACCAGGCGGGCCTGGTAGAATTGGTCAGGCTGGAGTGACCAGCTACCCAAAGCAAATCCTGCAAGCTACCAGGTTGGACGACCTTTAGAGCTTGGAAGGAAATTATAGAGCTGTCCGTTGGAGTAGCCTCTGGGGTGAAGAGAAACGTGTATGTATATAATGAGAGAGAGAGAGAGATAGATAGATAGATAGATAGATAGATAGATAGATAGATAGATAGATATAATGTATATACCCCAATTTTTCATTCTTTTAATTCTCTTGTTGGTTGTCCTCTTAACCGCCCAACCCCTGGGACCTTGGCTTTTCCGACATCAGGTGAACGTTTCGGAGTGGATCTCTGGCGACCCAAGGGAACCTCAAAGGCAGCGAAAACATCTGACAATCAGAAAACAGTAAGAGGTCTATAGATGCTGATCTTGGCAGTATTCACCACTATTCACCACTATTCACCACAATTCACCACTATTCACCACGCATTTCCATATGGATCCTATTGGTTTCAATGGTTTCCATGGAAATGCGCCTGTGATAGGTCTATGCCATTTCCGACGTGCATTTCGATCACAAGTGCAACGAGGCGCGCATGGAACGCCCCTTGGTTCGCCGAGCTGCAACCTTGAAGTACCGAGGATTGGGCACATCGGATCGACGACTTTGAGTTCCAGGAGGACTTTTTCTTTGTGATGCCAAGTTTTACTGTTGATCATTGAAAAATATGTTACACAGTATGTTGAACAGGAAAAAAATAATGGTTTTGCTTTCCAAGATGACTTGCTCACATGTCATTTTTTTTTCATTTTGCTGAGTTGTTGCCGTTTTTTTTCAGCCAGGACGTGCTGATCGTGGCTGGGAACTTGTGCGACACCAGGCTGGGACTAACGTCTCTAAGTTACACCGTTGTTTCTCATTACAATGCAAAACAAACATTAAAAAACACCACGAATATGAAAACAGGAATTCAAGAATCTGATTGCCCACATGCCAAAACCTGAGATCTCTGACAAACTAATGTGTTTTTTTCGCTACAGGAACGCACTGATGCGGGCGCTGACAACCCTCAAGGCGCCAACTTGAGATTTCACCATGAATCTTGCATCATCCAAGGGCCGCATGGCCATTGAGTATAGCGGTCCCCAAAAGGTAAACACAGTGATTCCCTACGATTGCACCCTATTCTCATGGTAATTTAGTATTTTTGTCGAGAATCACCGAACATCCGAGGCAAAAGTTTAAGATCAGCCAAAAATTGGAAGATCATCCTCTCTCATAATTTCCTACTATGTCCAGTGACTTTTCAAAAACAAGACATTTTTCCCTGAAATCCCAGCTTTTGCCATGGAATTCTTCCCCTACCAGTGCCAGGCCAAGTTTCGCCGGGTCTTCTACGTTCCGGGCAACCACGAGCTTTGGCTAAGCCCTTCCGAGGCAGCGATTTGGGGGATCGTAAAAGTTGACCCAACATGGGGGTTGAAAACAACCAACAGTGCAAAAGTTCCCCGAAAAAAGACATTTGGACAGGATGTGGACAGTAGGATGTAGGGAGAATCCATGAGAATCCATCATTTCCGATGATGTTTTGTGCTTTGTTTTTTTGATCGTACTTCATTCTGGGCTGAATTTCTCTAACTTTACAAGACATCATTGGATTTGAAAGGGCAAATGGCCTTTCCGCAGTGTACACCAGTTGTATGTCCTCCAACTGGGTGAACTTCTTTAACCATCATTGATTTCGTCGGTGGATTCCCCCATGTTTTGCAGTACCATGTTGATTCATATTGTATCCTGAGACATCCATACTTTGGTCGCCATGGATTAAACCTGCTGGGTACCCTCTGGTAAACTAACATAGCTATGGAAAATCACCATTTTTAATGGGTAAATCCACTATAAATGGCCATTTTCAATAGCTATGTTAAATTACCAGAGGGTACCTAAATTTGATGAAATTTGGACGAGTCAGGTTGCTCCAAGCTGTGATGAATCATAGTAATCATAGTTACTTAGATGGGCCATTGAGTTAGTTAACTAGTAAGTGGATAATCATTGGGATACAGTGGTTTATACGTTTTATAAGCCAGTTAACCAGGAATCACTAATCCCATGACCCAGCTAAGTAGGGTCAGTGGCTTATAAGTTTATATAAGTCTTATAAGCCAGTTACTAACCGGGAATCGCTCCCATGACCCATCTAGGGTTACTAACCAGTCAAAACTGGGGCGAAAAAACGCTATGATCCACGGAGGCATCTAAGTATCCCGACTCCCTGGCCAAACTCTTGGGAATCATGGAGATGTGCGACGAGTGACTCGTTGAAAAAGACGTTTCGTTTTTTCCGTCGTCTTTTTTGGCACTGGTGGCAAGTGAAACTGGGTTTTTTGGCTAGTTGATGTACCGTATACCTTGGGATAAACCAACATACAGTAGATATTGTGGACAATAAATGAACATCGCGCATATCTTCATGTTTTCCTGGGGAAACCATGGGTTTTCGCTAATATCTTCATGTGAGTTTGCCGGAGGGTTTTTCACTTTTTTTGAAAAACATAGTCATCTTAACTCATCTGCCATGGGATTATTTATGATTCTGGCATTGATCAAGGAAGTCCAAAGGGCGTTTGGAGTGAACCTGCCAGACATGCCATCAGGTTGGGTGTGGATTGTTTTCCATCTGCCGTCAGCGAGGACCGTTTTACATCTGTGGTTTGTCTATAGTGCAGACGTGCAGACAATGCTGGAACTCCAAAGGCAACCACTGACAAGTTCATTCCAAATACCATCAACTTGGCCATTGTGGGGTATTGCTACTTTTGGATGCTTGCGACTGCTGAAATCGGTTTGCAGCAAAAAACTACCTAGTCCACGAAGGACACTTTTGATCTCGCAGCAACAACATCTTGTACCCCGCAAAAAGGTGCTGACAGAGGGAGAAACAATAGCTGTGAAGTGCTGTGACGCCTTGTCAATGCGATGCTCAACTTGTATCTCTAGTATCTCTAGATTCTGATGAGTATTTGGGTTTGTTTGAATCAGAGTACACCCAAATTTGATGGTTAAAAACATCATTTTCATCTTGAAATTGGCAAGTTTGGGGCTTGAATCCCCATGTTTAACTCCACATATCATCATCTTGCTGGTTAGTCGTATCCAAACATTCCCATTATAGCATCTTCCCATAATTTCTATCCCTTCTTATTTTGGCATCATGCGCTCCATCACCGTTCTTCATCTGTACCGCTACGGCCCGCCATTGCTCGACCGACGGCAGGATGTTTTTGTGGTGCCTCTCCTGTCCTGGTACTCTGCGGACTTCGATGACAAGGCCCGGTGGAACTTTTGGGGGGATGGAAATAGGCGTAGAATGTGATAGAATGGGAATATTTTATAGGAATTCATGGGATAAACAAAAGTATAAGTACACACATATATATATATATAGAATTATATATATATGATATAATTACATAAATAGAAATAGACAACTGATGGAGATGTAACTGACCAACAATTTGTATGATAGAAATAGGGATATATATATATAATTTGAATGGGAATACGTTATGGGATATATTAACCACTATGATATTTTGGTGCGTCTGCAATTTACGGCCATTTGCCACGGAGAAAACTATGCTTAGCCATCAACTTTCTGGGTAAAGGGGAGGATTCACCAAGCTTCATCTGAAGATATTCACTGTCAATATCCCATTTTGACACCATCATGTTCATTCAATCTCCAGCTTATATATAGATATATCTCCATCATATTCGTTCATCATCCATACATCCATGCTGCAATGCTCCTTGAGATTCCATAGCATCGGGTAATCGAACATGGCAGTGGAGAATCTTCAATTTCTAGGTCACCTTCCCATTTCAATGTCCATTTTGGATCATTAAAAAAGGGGATTTGGCCTCGGATTTTCATCGCGCCAGGATCCCTTCCCAGATCCAAATGCCAACTTCGACCACCAATGCAGGTGGCCCTTGGACCCCGAGACACAGGCGCTAAACGGAAAGCATCAGTTGACATCTCTGCCTTTGGTCGAAACTCCATGGGTTTCTGATGGTTTCTGTAGATTTTCCCTTGAACCAATCCAATGATACTTCATTCTTTGACCATGCATGGGGAACACATATACATAATTACAATTAATATATATATATAATATACTACCCACTTATATAATTATTCATCTAAACTAAACATAGGTTTCTCTTGGTATTGCACCTGGCACTTGAGCAGTGACCAGCTGACCGCTGTTGATTGTTTGGATTTAACCATCCTAAAAATCCACATTTCTTTGGGGTTTCATCATGATAACTACGGGGAGAGATTAAATCATGTTGATAAATGATGGTTGGCTGATGATGATTGATTATTATTGATGATTATAAATTACAGTTGATTATTATTGATGATTATATATATATAGATATTATTGATAAATTACAGTTCTCCTGCTTGGGAATTCAGGGAATTCTGAGTGAACTTCGGCCCTGGCCCAGATTCTGTGTCCAGTGGATTGGCACTTGCCTTCTCCGTCCTATACTGTGCTTACATAGGACATAGATCTAAGATACACATGCGCATCAAGAAAAATGATTACATATACACATCCAATTATATGTAATACAAATATGTGTATATATATAAATATTAATTATTACCACATGTACATGTATCCATCATCTATTTCTATAGATATTCACCTTTGCGTCTTGCTTCATAGTCTCTTGGACGCGCAGGTGTGGAAGTACATGTTGAAGCTCAATGAAGCTCATTTGCAGCAGTGAGCCTAGCTCATTGGGATATTATCCTGAAGGAATCTGAAGCAGTTTTGTCGATAGGATTTTCGAACCTTTCCATATTCTATCACTTCCGGATGACTACCATATATATATATACTATATATATACGTACACTAAATATAACACACAGAACCGGGTAATACAATGATCATGCGAATGACCCAACTAGACAACCCTCCAATGGAGAGTGCTAGACTGCGCAGCTACCTATTACTGTAGCAACTCCCGAGGAAAGGATTGATTTGAAATTGTTGGTGTGGTATCGCCATCATTGCTTGATGCCATACATTTACTGTAAGCAAATACATAACTAGATAAGCACACACTCACATATATATAATATGTATGTATGTATGTATATATGAGCGCTAATATGAGAAGTAATAATAACGTTCATTCTGTGTACAGTATATATCTCTTATGAAAGATACTCTCTGGCAATTCAACAAGATTTAGCAACAATCATGGAACACAATCAACATTTTGATATTTGTAAATAATCATATATCATCGGCCCAACTAGGCGGTTTTCCATAGGTGTGGTGTCTATTTGTGGTAGATTGTTTTTTCCTTCCTATAAACACAGCTAAAAAATGAAGTACGTCATCTGATGTCATCGGACGGAAAATAGGTCTTGACATCACAGGTCAATCATCCCAGTTTTCTTGGGGATGCATCCCAGTAAATGGGCGATCTGCCCCATTAATGGGATGAAATATGGGCGATCTGCCACCACAAAATTGTGGGATGAACTATGGGTGATAAGCCTATGGATAAGCCACGGATACTAGGATCCTAAATGCCCGCACATTTTCAACATCCATGGTCCAAGTTTTCAGATAGGTCTTTTTTTTCGAGCCCAGGCATCCTTACCATGGCACCGTCATCACATTCTCGTTGGGCTGCCAAGTTTTCGGGGCGGTGGAAGCATAAACACCAACTAAAAATAAGGGGGTTCACGGTCAAGTGAAGACTGGAGTCCCAAGGGGAAAGACTTACCCTCTGGTAATTTAACATAGCTATTGAAAATTGCCACTTATAGTGAGTTTTCCCATTAAAAACAGTGATTTTCCATAGCTATGTTAAATTACCAGAGGGTATGGAAACCTTAAACAGGATTTACAAAAATCCCTGATTCAGCGTTTCTTTGCCATTGTTAAGCCTATAGGTTGCTTCCCTCGCTTGGGGAAATTTCTTCCTGGATTCCCTTTGACTTCAGGGGACGGCTATGCTAGACCCAGATGATTTATTGAATCTATTCTTAGTCAATGCTAGTTAATGTTAGTTACATATATATATAGATAGTGATAGTCTGTCCAATTTTCTTCTCATGATATTCTCACGCAATATTCCCATCATATCTCCATAGAGAAGTGGTTGCTTAGTTACATTCCCCTACACTACTGTATTGCATACTTATATATATATATCCCGTAAAACGGCCATTTTGTATCTCAGAACATTCCCCATTCTAGTAATAATTATTATCATCCTGATGTAGATCGGAAGTGTCTTTTTGCAAACATTCCCCTTTCAGATGATTTTTTGACACCTCCATATCTACTCCAGGATGACCATGTATCCAGCATTTTCTCGCACTTCCTTCTATGAATTGAGGCATTTCCTGCCCTCGCGGAACTTGCCTTTCTCCGCCTTCGGGAGGGCTGCCAAGGTGCCACGACGTGAGACCTTGGAGCAGTTTGTTCTGTGGATCAACTAGGCCCATGTACATATTATATACTCTATGTATTCACAAATATATGTATATATAATTATATATATGTATATATATATATATATACATGCATGTTATATTATATATATGTAATATATGTATCATAGATGGGCTCGGTGTGTTTTCCGGGCGAGAGGAATGCTCTATTCATCTCTATTCTTACTAATGATTGGATGTCAGCCTCCATCTCTCCGCCCCACCCCCCCATGGGTTGGGGGAGGGCCACTACCAGCCACAGGGGGGGAGGGGGAAGATCTCATATGGGGGCACACATATATATATATATAACGTATGTGTGTGTATATATATATACACACACACTACAAATAAATATATATATATACATACATACATACACACACCGCACACACACACACATATATATATATACCATATGTATATATATATATACACCATATGTATATATATATATATATATCACATATGTATATATATATATACACCATATATATATATACATAAACATATATAGACCATATATATATATATAATATTTAAATTGTATATGCCGTATACAAAGCATATACTATATTTACCTAACACTACTAAATATTACATACAGAAAACCTAACACTACATACCTAATGTACTACTCATTTCATGCCTATATACCTATATACCTATATACAATATTTACAACCGTATCTAATTCCCAATACTATATATATATACTATACACCTAATATCTGTTGACTACCAATTTACAAAACTACCACCCCCACCACCACAGCCATTACCAAAGGGGAGGAGGGGGGGTATACCACCCCCACCACAGCCATTATGTAAACGTGCAAATATTATAACATATATATATATATATAAATATTTGATTATATAATATGTATATTGTACCCCACATACACACAGGTATATACGTACATATATATATATGTATGTACGTATATGTATATATATATATAAATACATAGCATATGATATATATCTATATATATATATATACGGTTTGAGTGCTGGTTGTGGTGGAAAAACCATGACTGACCGTCGGCATTGCGGCAAAAAGCGACAGGCCATGGGCTGCGAAGAGTTGAATGACCAGGCACTGGAGACGCGGAGACACGGGGGTTGTTTTTTTTAAGTCATGAGGAATCAGTCACCATAGGTTTCAGTACTAAGTCGTGGTCCAATGGTCAATGATAATCCTTAACTTACTGGTGCGGTGCTAAACGCAGGGAATTTTCGGGAATGATCCACTGCCGAACTATCAAGCAGATCATCCCAGCAACCCCCAGCAACCCATCCAGCAACCCTACGCTACGTTTAGCACCAGCAAGTTAACCATATGTTTCACTACTAATAGATTGAAGTCATGGTCCAATGACTTGGATGATTTGGGGGTAGCATCGGGTAGCCCTACTTTCAGCCTTTCAGGTGAAGTCCTTGAGATTGAGAAATCGGGTGCATGTCGGACACCGAAAGGGCCACGTTGTGACAATCGCAGGAAGACGATGGATGGGTCAAGTTACCACCGGATGACTGGAAGAATAAACATCCAACCAAAAACTGGCAGCTATACCAGCTATGATTTAGGGGTACCATCCGGGTGGGTTTTGACTCATAGCAACTAAGGTTCATGAAGTTTGATACTGCAGAGTTTCCGTTACCAGTATTGCCATTGCGACATGGCACGATTCCTCATTCCATAGGCTCAAGTGACAGTTGGCTATGGATCAATACCTATGAAAATACAATTTTTATGGGGTTATTCACATCCATTTTAACCCAGCTATTTTGATGTGAACAGAAGGGGTACTATTGGTTTTGACACACTGCCAGTTGGCAAGCCAAAAGGTTCATGTTTTTCCCGTACCCTCTGGTAAACTAACATAACTATGGAAAATCACCATCTTTAATGGGAAAACTCACTATAAATGGTCATTTTCAATAGCTATTTTGACATAACCAGAGGGTAAGACACACTTTGGAGCGATCGACCAAGGTCTATGGACATTCCTCCAGGCATTTCTCGCAGTACGAAGATGGGATCTTGTGACCCCTTCTGCTCACATCAATCCATAGCTGGGTTAAAATGGATGTGAATAACCCCCTAAAAATGGTATTTTCATAGGTATTGATCCATACCCAGATATGGATAGATATGGAAATCTAGGGGTAGGACAATGATCACTGCTGGGTTTTGCATATGTTCACCTGAGAGGATCTATTGTTTTTTTTAGGCGGTAGTTTCAAACAGCCGTAGCCCTTCAGTTGGACCTTGCGTTATCGGGAATTGACCGGTGTTGAGCTTCACTGGCATGTCTTGAAAAACATAAACTTACCCTCTGGTTATGTCAAAATAGCTATTGAAAATGGCCATTTATAGTGGATTTTCCCATTAAACATGGTGATTTTCCATAGCTATGTTAAATTACCAGAGGGTAGTAGAAAACTCAAACTGACACAGCACCCACAGGATCTGAAACACGTGATCAGCATGGGTTTCTGCAGGGGTTGGTAAATGTTCCTTTTTGGGGATTTTGGACATCACTCACCTTCAAATAATTGTTGGATATTATTCCCCAATAGTTGGGTGATGTTGACTTTGGACATTTACCAACCCCTGTTCTGGCTGAAATGACAAATTGCCATTCACCATTTTAAAGAAGGGATGCGAGATCAGCGAGGTAAGTCAACAATCAGTAAACAATTAACATAGAGGAAATTAGAGTCTTTGGAATGTCCTTGTAAAGATGTGGAAAGTAATTTGAGTGTGATAGAGCGAGTGCGCTGGGCAAAGATATGCAAAATCTGCACCTTTGAAATAGATACAGTATGTGAGTTGCAATTCTTGAATTCCTGAATTGGGAAAAGGAGCTGGGAGATTACCTTAAATGTCCATTCGAAAAAAGAATTCGCAACAACTCAACAACCAGCAAAATCCAATTCGCGTTTGGTGATGAAGTCACACCTGGCGGGCTCTCCATGGGATGGGGATGCCAAAAAAAGGCCGTTTTGCCTGGCCCTATTCAGCCTCCAATGGATGCAGGCTTTCGCAGACTGGCACGTTGGCCCTGCTGCTTCTTGGTGCGACCTAGCACAACAGCTGAGCAGAAACGGAAGCAACGGAAGCAATGTGAGCTGCAAAAAACGGCAGCTGGTCCATGGCCAAATCAACATGTCGATCTGTTTGCATCCGCGTGGAGATTATGTCTCTGACCAGACGAGGAAACATGGTCTATGGCTTGACTGTGTGGAGATCCTATCTTTGTGGTGGTCATCTCAAGCCGAAGCCGAAACGAAGACACGGACTTTTCAGAGCCACATGTTTTTGGACATCGGTGCGAATCTGGGTTTGTGCTCCTTTACAATCTTAGCCTCAGATCCAGAGGCCACCGTCACGATGTTTGAGCCAGTGGTGCATAACCAAAAACAGATTGCTGAAAGTCTGTGCCGAAACCCTGGATGGGCAAGACGAGCTGCCTTGTTCTTGGGCGCCTTGTCTTCCGAGAGAGCTTCATCTCCACTGGTTGGCACGGCCGAAAACTTTGGAGTATCACGCTTGGGATCCCCTGACACTTGGGCATCGAACCGCATGAAATTTATAGATTTGGGTGTGGTCGAAACTCATCGATTGGATGATATTTGGAGTGGCCTAGGTGGGGCTCGTGCCACCAAGATTGATGTTGAGGGTGCTGAGTATCGAATTTTGTTGGGGGCACAGCGGCTGCTTCACTCTGGAGCAATGCCTTTGATTCATTTTGAGTATAGTCCTGCAATGATGCAGGTGACTGGATCACAGCCTGTGCAGCTCCTGCAACTGCTTCATGATTTGGAATATGATTTCTACTGGTGCGCCACAGACTTCTTAGAGCAAACATTCACAGATTGTGGACTCTTCAGCAACAGTGTCCCCTTGGATGACCAGGACCTCTCAATCCTCGCTCACTGTGGAGGTTTGCAGGTGCAGGAGAACTTCATAGCCATCCAAAGGTCGTCAAGTTTCAGGAACCGCGGAGTGATACAGGACTACTGCTCAGAGTGCTTCTTGCCCAAGTTTCTGACACTTCACATGTGTTGCCAGCTGCGGGCGTCTGTTGACCACTTTGTTTGGCAACCCACATGGTTTCAAACATGCTGCCTTACCACAGCATGTGGAAGCACATAGTCTTGGCAGCCTGCACAAAGTTGCATGATGGCCAACCATTCCCATAAGGAGCCAGAGAAGTAGCCCTTGCCGGATTGCTTTGGAAAATCGGTATCTGTTTGGGCATACTTTGGCTCAAACATGACAAGCCTGCCATGAGCTGGGGTTCGAAGACTACTTTATCTAAATCATCTAAACATCAGCTCAGGGTCGATGCTTTTTTTCCAGGGACGGCAACTCATATTTAATTTGTTTCCATTTGTTTCCTACGATGGACCAACTGTCTCTTGTATCCTCACTACGATGGCGACATGGTTTCGTATCACCACCGAAGTTTCCAGGTACGTGAACCACTACCACGGCACCGAGGGTGGGCAGTTTGAAAGAGCTCCACTTTTCTTGGTTCACGATGGAAAGGCGGTGGCCCGGGTGGTTGGCTAACTCGTCGGACCGCAATGGCAATGGATCAAGCTGTTGATCCATCCCTTAAATATTTACATAGTAAATCCGTAGCCAAGCAATGCGTGGGCCTGGGTCCAACAAACATTGACGAGTCAAGATGGCAAGAAAACTTGATGCTGAAGGTCTTTTGATTCATTTGTTTGTTGATTGATATTGACTTGCAATATCCAGATATATCATGATATATCCAGATATCTCCAGTTTCTGTTGATTATCTTAATCTTCGTTTTTTGGTCATTTTGAGTCATCCATTTGTTGCAAGATGTTGCAAGTCTTGGTTGTACATGAATTGGTGACTTTCCAACGATCTAGTCCGGCAATTCTGGCAATGCCAAATCCTGCTGTTTAGACAATTGTGTCTATTTGTGAATTATGTATTAACACGTCCATTCACAATGCATTATGTAACATTATGTATTAACATGCATTTTTTCACAGGTTTTTGTCTAAAAAGGTCATCATGCCTGCTTTCTGCCGCGCAGACGGCAACCCATCCATGATTCATAGGGCTTTGTTTGAATTTATAGGGCCCCCCCAATCCAGTGGTTCATCGCCAGGACATCGCCAAGAGGCAAGTGGAAATTTACTCCGGCCCAACGCGCGTGTCGTCGTAGACCCAGAAAATATATACAGCATCCTCCTGGAGAAACGCATAGAACGTGGTATTTTTGGTTGAATATTCTAGTGACTCCAGGCCGACGACAAACAGATGTTTTATGATGTGTAGTTTTGTAAATTCGTTGATCAATCTTGATTTCGGGACTTATATTGTCCCTTTTTGAAAGCATTCAGGGCTCCCCACTTCCAATATCAGTAGTCTACTCTCAAATTGTTGTTTGAAAATGTGTGGAACTCAAGCCCAAACACATATTCATCCTGTTCATGACGTTTTTTTTTTCGGTTTTGGAAATCCTCCTTGTGTTCGCCTTTTTTCCCTGTGACCGTGGTGTCCACTGCAAAGCAGGGACTCCACGTGTGTTCGCCGCATAAAGTTGCTGCCCGCGTCGTCGAAATCTGGGTGTGTCCCCGGAATGGCAGCTGGAGCGGTCCCTGTCTCCGCAGATTTTACTTGAGCCATTAAACAGACCCTAATTTATTTGTCAATATAGTGGCACTTATGCTACCTAATTGATTGGGGATCAAAACACACCACAACCCATGGCTCACGAAAACATTACATAAAATGACCACATTTCTGGGTCAGGGCCCTACGACTTGACAATTTTTGAGACAGGGGCACCCTGGCACGAGTTGACTTCAGTCAATCTTCCATTAAGAAAGGCCGATGTTTTGCTTCGTTGCCCGAATCGGATGTGTAAATCTCTCTTGGGGCAAAAACTGTCGAGGCATGACAGTTTTCTGTTGATTTCCGGTCAATTTGACAGTCTCTCTCGAAGCCTGGTGGCTTGTTTTGCTAATCGGCCTCGCCCTGCCCACAGCTTCTGGTTCCCTGCGTTGGGAAAGTGCTGAGGGTCATGGTTTTTCAGCTGAATTTCGTGACATTTCCAGAAGGTCAACTAGTTACATTGGTTGCAGAGACAAACACCAGGAAAAGCCAGACCCTGAAATGTAGGGTCCAAAGTTAAAGGTCCAGCTTAGCAATGCAGGGTCCAAAGTTAAAGGTCCAGCTTAGCAATGCAGGGTCCAAAGTTAAAGGTCCAGCTTAGCATATATATATATATGATATATATATATATATGTATTATGTACACACATGTAACAGTAGGGGGCCAGCCACCAAATGTTGACCCCATTTGCATAATCTGTGGCTTGCCGAAGCATGGCAGATCTACCTGTCACAGGTTGGCCGGAGTGGTGTGGGTGAAATGCACTGCATTTGGAATCATTTGACAGTGTGTCAAAACCTTGTACCCCTGGTGAACATCAAAATAGCTGGTAAATGGATGTTCATTCCCCTAAAAATGGTATTAATAGGTATTGATCCATACCTATTTTTTTGTGGTTGATGATAAAACACAAAAATCAAGCATCTCCACATTCTGAAAAAAAGGGCGTGACATGATGCAGCTTCTACTCAGGTCATCTTGGATCACTTTCAGTGTCAATGAAACAAGCCGATGTTGCACATAACAATGCAACAGCATCATAGTAAACCTCAAACGTGGCCCTTGTTTCTTTCATTTTCCTGGGGAGATCCAACGTCACCAAGCGAAAACAGGTCCTAAATTCTCACCACGTGGGATGATTGGCACTTGAGTCCGAGTGTGTCTCACTAGGATGTGGGGCTCAACCTCCACTTTTGTTGATATACTATGATATACTCTGATATACTTCATTCCCCCTGCGTTTTCAATTTTGACCCACAGCTATCTTCTCCGATTTCCTTCCAAGTACCATAATTCGGCAGCAGCCAAAGCTGACTGCGAGGTGGTTCCGGCCTATTTGCTCCGGCAGATGGGAAGGACCCTGCCAGGGCTGGCGCCAGAGACGGCATGGAGCAATATGTTGGGGTTGGCCAGGCGGGGCTGCCAAGGCAGACCTGTTGCCATGGTTTAGAACCTGGTTTCCGCATGTTTCCGCCATGAAGCGATTACAGTACCATTTTTATCCATTTTTTTCATTTTTTGGGTAGCCTAGTTTTTGGGGAAAGCCATACAAATAATGAATTAGAATTATATATATACATAAATAATACACATACACATACATATATTTTTTGAATCGGCACTTATATATGTGAGCTGAGTGACGCAGGAGAGGGACCGGCTTGTTGTTCACAGGAAGCGGCTGGCTGGGCCCGGAAACGTTCTGTCCCAAGACCATGAGGGTGAGAACATGTAATAGTGGCAAGAATTGGTCCTTTTTTCCCGAATTTTCATAGCAAACATGGCTGATTTATAGATGGATTACAGTACTGTTAGTTTACCAAAGGGATCCAATGGGTAATGTGGAAAATTATGATCAAAATTGGAGGATCCCAATTTTAGCAAGACCAATTTCTTGAAAGTCACTGTCATTACGCACAGCGAGAGGCAAAAGCATGGCTGCAGCAAAACGAAGAGGAGTGGCGGGCGGATTTGTCCATTTTCAAGGATCGCAAATCCTGCCGTTGGCCCTTGCCATGCCGAAAGTCGCAGAGTTGGGTTTAGGGACTTCCAATAAAGAACGGCACCCAATCGGAATCTATACCCAATCGGAGATGCTTCCAATAAGAACTGGTCATTTGTTCGAGTCAACATGAGGTTATATTGGGGGTGGGTCAAAACCTAGTATTATCAATTCTAATGGGATGAACATCCATAAATCCCAGCTATTTTGGGGTTCACGGCACGGTGCCAGGGTTTTGACCAATAGCCATGACACCTGGGGATTCAACACATGAAAATGGGCCTTTTTTAATGGGCCAATGACCAATTCGAATGGATGAGTTTCCCGTATATTTTCCCTATCAAAAGTGCCACGAAAATATGGGGTATCCCTTACCCATAGGATCCATGTATGCCATATATGGTAACATGGATCCCATCAATATACCCCCAATGTTAGCATATATACCAGCACCATGGATCCGTCATGGGATATATTTTCAGACCAACCCAAAGGCCCCAATGGATTCACAGGCACTCCCCTCGCAACGTGCCTCACTGAAGCCGCTGGACTCGAGTCGCTTGCAGAGGAGCCAAAACTGCTTTGCTCGATCGGCTGGGGCGGGGATATTTTTGGCTTACTCAACACTTATGGAAATATATGGAAATATATGGAAATATATGGAAAAGCCAGGTTATTATGGTTTTATATAGTTTTATAGGGATAATCATGGGATAATCATGGGATAATCATGGGAAATAATGGGAAATAATAGGATAATCATGGATTTAGCCTCCGGAAATCAAACATGGCAACGGAAGATCCGCGAACTAAATGGAGATTTTTTTTTGCTCGGAAAATCATCGAAATATCAATGGGTGGATTTTCCAGCAAGCCACGTATAGCAAGGCCGAAAAGACCGAAAAGATAGCACAGGAAATGATTACTATTTTAGTGGTTGCTTTGCTTTTCTACATCTGGGGTTGCCATATGGATAAAACCAACCATTTTACGTTGATAGACATAGAGATAATATATGATAACAAGTTTTTTTTTAAAACATATTTTTTCATTGGGATGTATGTATACAACCAAAACTATGGTATTTGGGCGACATCTGAGGAGCAGCCGCAGTCCTAAGCGCCCTGGCCATTCTTTGGTTGGAGAGCTCAGGGGGGCGGTGGGAAAACGGTAAGATTGCCGATTGAAAACAGATAAAAGCAACGGTTGCCCAAAGTATCCCAAAGTTCACTTGACCCAATTCGGGGAGACATAGGTTTGTCTGAGAAGAGGGTAGCCGGGTAGCCGGGTAGCCCAAATCTTGCTGCTTTATCATCATCTTCCCTATTAAATTGGATTTGGAGGGAATGCCCCATTCTCAGATACACCCTCGCAGAAGATCATGAAAGAAGATGAAAAGAGATGGTAATACTATGCACTGTACCACCAATAGTGGTTCAATCATAACATCCAATGTAAAGAGTTACAGAGAATGGATTGTGTAGAGACAGCGTCAGCGGGAGACACTGACTTCAAGCAGCTTTCCGCAAACAATGTGTTTTCATGTGTTTTCACCTTGCTGCGCACGGTCTCGGGGTGATACCAATCTAAATGAGCATCACACCGCTATGTGTTTTCACCTTAACAGCACATCTCTATACACATATAATATGAGTATGTGGATAGGTATATGTATATATGTATATATGTATATGTGTATATATGTATATATGTATATATGTATATATGTATATATGTATATATGTATATATGTATATATGTATATATGTATACACATATGTATATATGTATATATGTATATGTATATATATATGTATATATGTATATATGTATATATGTATATATGTATAGATATCTGACTATACAATACTGTGTATATATATATATATGATGTATAAATCAGCGTTACAGATACGTAATGTATGAATCACTACATCAATATATATATATAACATATAAATCAATGTATCTACATATATACATCCAGGAACACATATATGTAGATTCATGTACATGTAAGACCTAATAATTAACATCGGAACACATAGATATCTGTATATATGATTATATGATATTATATGTATATATATAATATTGTATATCGTGTAACAAATGTAATTGCATATGTCTGTACACATGTACAAATCATATAGAGATATGAAACCATGGGATTTCCTCTACACATAACACTCGCAATTGTGCGCGAGGTCGTTCCGGTGGCCGCGTCGGGGTGCCCCAGTTTGGGGTCGACATGCACTAATTCGTAGCTTTTGACCGATCCGAAGCGGCTAGGCATCAAGATTAGGATAGATCTCATGCATTTTGTGACTTGAAGCCAAGTCAAGATTTGTTTTCCAATTTTTTCCATGATTTTCCATGACAGTTTTGTTCGCCAGTTCGCCTCAGCAGTTTTTCAGGACTGACTTGCCAGAGACGGAGGGTGTGGTGAAGCCACATCGCTCCACGGCGGTGAGACTTCTGGAGGCGGCGGCGAACATGTTGGGAAAGACCTCAAAATGGTGGGAAAATGTTGGGAAAATGTTGGGAAAATGTTGGGAAAATGGGAGAATGCTCACGATTCTTATCGTTTTTCTACATCTTCCCTCTGAAATTGCATTTTTTTGACTGGGATTGGGAAACAAAGCCATAGCTTCTTGCATGTCAGTGGAAGGTGGGTATCAATATTATGATGGTTGTAAGAACCGTGATCCCGTTCTGCGAAAAAACAGCGATTCGAAACAACAACTTATTATAATTGATTTGAGGTCAACACACTGTCATGGGCTAATGACTGCCACGGCAGAATGTAGAGGTCTGTGACTATTTGGCTGAATGTCTGAAAAACAGAGGTAGCCTAAAATCCACTGGTGATTTCTTTGCCTATTACATATTATTACATGACTATTACATGGGTGAAATGCTCCATGTTCAGACACACCCATATTTATATATATAATCATTATAAGCCATTATTAACCCATTATTAACCCATTACAATCCCCATTAATCACCATTAAATCACCATGCTAAAGTGAGCTCTTCATCTTCACCCATATCACAGCTGCAGCATTTTGCGCATCTGTCATGCGAATCGTGACTCCGGCAGGGCCTGGAGGGAATTGAAACAAGCTCGGGCCGCCAAAGTGGGACTCAGTCGACTCAGTCGGCCCGACAGTGTCGTGGGCTGTGTTTGGTGGTGTGGTAAACCCAATGATCAACCTAGCATTTAATTAATATTTAATGGGGATCTGGGGATGGTTTATGCAAGCCATTTGTCTGGATTTACTCATCACCCATCATATACCAAGCAACATGTTTTTTGGCAGGGTATCTAAGATTTTTCCCTGAACTTTGACCCCTATCCCCCTCCATTGCTGAGGTGATTCTCTCATCGACCTGCCTGCCGAGGATCCAAAATGGGTAGATTTGCCCCTCCAAAAAAAGAGTGAAGCAGATACTGTACCATTGGCAAAAAACAGGTCAGTGTAAATGATGGAAATTGTTCTAGAACGGGCTAACTTTTTTGAGGTTGGTGAATTATTGTAATTTATCCAGATGTGAGATATTGTGAGATATTGTTTTGGGAGGGATGAACATCTAACCAAACGCCAGTGCCATGCCTTTGATCCATAAGAAGCGTAAGAAGTGCCTGGACGTTTTTTTTTTTTAAGACTACCCTATATATACTGGTTTGTGGTTTGGAACATTTTATTTTTCCATATATTGGGAATGTAATCATCCCAACTGACTTTCATATTTTTCAGAGGGGTAGGTCAACCACCAACCAGTATACATTCACAATGAACGATGATAGTAGTTATGGATAACTATGATGACTTGGAATAACTATAGTTAACTATGGTGGTTATCATTCTTTTTGGATAACTATGATGACTTGGAATAACTATAGTTAACTATGGTGGTTATCATTTTTTTGGATATATAACTATGATGACTTGGAATAACTATAGTGAACTATGGTGGTTATCATTTTTTTTGGATAACTATGATGACTTGGACTTCATTAGGATCTACATCTTTTGGATTCAGACGACGGTGTCAGATCGATCGCCATTTCTCGTGGCAACGGTGTCAGGCACGAGAGCCAAGCTGGGCTCGGAATCTCAGGGCTATGGAGGACGTACGACGTGATGGAAATTGGAGGCAATGAATATGGGAATTACCCTCTTTTTATGACTAGCATAGCCATGGTATAGATGGCCCATTTATAGATGATTTTCCCATTAAAACCTCCATTTATAAGGGATTTTCCATGGCTATGTTAAATAACCAGATGGTATATGGAATTATAGTATATCTAATTTATGGGAATATGATGGGAATTTTCTAGATAAAATTATAGTGTATCTATATCTATAGCCAACGACTAGATTAAATGAGTTATTGAATATGGGAATTATAGTATATTTATGTATATCTAGTTTATTGGGGATTATGAACTAACCAACAGTAGGGTAACCTGTCAACCAAGTAGTACAGATGGGATATGGCTGGATATGGGTATTTTCAATGGCTGATTGGGGCCTAACTTTTCAGGTTGGTGAATTCTGGTAATTTGTCCAGATCGATTACTAGCCACAGGAGACTTCATCCCCTGGTATTTTTTAGCACGGAATCCCACAAAATGGGGTCTGGAAGATGTGAGACCGGAGGATTCTCAATCCCTTTTTTGGCCAAGATTTTTGACCCATGCCTATGGGCCTATGGGGATTGTGTTCCCCTTTGATTTGGGGGATTGCTCTCTGACCTGTTTCAGCTACCGCCCTAGGCTGCACCTTCCTTGCCCAGGCCAGGGTCATGAATTGAAGCCGGCATTACAGCCAGGGTATCCATGGGTATCCCCAAAAAGATTCAGAAGAGTCAAATTAATCTGTTCTGACGGTGCTTCGCTTTCCTATCTGAATTCCATTTGTTGTTTAGCGGCACGTACTGTACAAGTCTACCATGCAGCTTTCGATTGCTATTTTCACTCCATTTCTGGACAAACCTTGGTTTGCAGGGCAAGCTGTGTGACGGTTGGTCAATACCCCCCCATTTTGGCCGGTTGTACCTCCATTCATATTCATATCTCACCGTGGTTTGTTTTGTATGAATTACAATCTCGATGATTACAAGATGCACATGCATCAATGCTTGTTCCATGAGCGTACTGTTGCATATATATGTATTTATCAGATATGGAGGTTTCCTAAAATAGGGGTACCCCTAAATCATCCATTTTTGTTTCGGATTTCCCATTATAAACCATCCATTTTGGGGTACCACCATTTAACCTCCATATATAATATACCAGTAGTACTGCACAAGGCGGTGGCGGAAGTTTCAAAGATAGGACACTATAGGAGAGGTGAGTTGTTGTATGGCAGAGCGAATGCAACTGATGGACCAAAAGGTGGTTGGAGTTGTGTTTTTTGGAGTGGTTGCAGTGGTTGCAGTGGTCACCTCACCCACAACAGCTGGATGTGGTGTGGTGTAGTGCAGTTGTAGTTCTAGTTGTAGTGTAGTGTAGTGGAGTTGTAATTATATAGTTGTAGTGTAATTAGTGTAGTGCAGCTGCAGTTGCAGTTGTAGTTGTGGTGTGGTGTAATTAGTGTAGTGTAATGTAGTGTAGTCTACTGTTGTGTTGTTTACTGTAGTGTAGTATAGTGTAGTGTAGTCTAGTGTAGTGTAGTGTAAATGTAGTTGTAGCTGTAGTTGTAGTGTTGTGTAGTGTAGTGTAGTAGTTAGTTAGTGTAGTGTAGTGTAGTGTAGTGTAGTGTAGTGTAGTGTAGTGTAGTGTGTAATATGATGTAGTTGTAGTTGTAGTTGTACTAGTGGGAGCATGCTCCCTGCGTGGCCGTTTGTTTTTGTGTGTTTTTTGACATTTTTCATGCTTTCATGTACGCTGCCACACTTGTGGCAGCTACGTTACTTATGTAGTCTTTGGGTGGGTGGGAGGGTGGGATGTTAACGTTCATGTGCACGTCCACACTTGTCACATGCTGCGCTAGTGGTCTTTACTTGTGCCTGCTCTGCTACGTTACTTATGTTGTCTTGAGGTGTGGTGGGTGGGGGGGGATGTTAACGTTCATGTACACTTCCACACTTGTCACGTGCCATGCTACGCTGCATATCTTTTCATTCATTCCATGCAAAACGAAGATCTTTTCGGATGGAAATCGCAGCTGGGAATCGCATGCCAAATCCTTGAAAATACCCCATGCTAAAGTGTGTCATCAAAACAAAGAATGGACGAAGAAGATTCGCAAAGGAAGAAGCCAGCACATGTCAAATGTGGCCGGCACGCAGAGTGCTGACCGTGGATGGCTGTCCCTGAAAAAATCATTCCAAGTAGCTTTCATAGACGCCTTGGCTACCACAGGCAAGTGAAAGAACATCCTGGACTGAAGAAATCAGTTTAACAGTTCATGTGGCGAAAGCTGCTGGGACTGCGTAAGCCAAGTGCCTTCTTGGCACAGTTGCGCAAAGCTGCCAAACAAGTCCGCTAAGAACATGGAAGAAAAAAGGGGGAGCGTCGAGCAGATGATGTGCAAAAAAACAAGTAGTTTTGGGAAATTCCAAAGCACTGATTTTCACAGCTAAGATATCAAAATCGATACGGCGCCACAACGCCAGACACTTTTTGGAGATTTCAGAATGCAGATTGTACCACGGCTGTTTGAGGGTCGCGCGCCCAGTAGTGTAGTGTAGTGCAACGCAATGTAAGGCAATGTAGTTGTAGTGGAAGTTGTAGTGTAGTGTAGTGTAGTGTAGTGTAGTGTAGTGTAGTGTAGTTCTAGTAGTAGTTCTTCTAGTAGTAGGAGTTCTTCTAGTTCTAGTAGTAGTAGCAGTAGTAGTAGAAGTAGTAGTAGTAGTAGTCGTAGTAGTAGTAGTAGCAGTAGTAGTAGCAGGAGTAGTAGGAGTAGTAGGAGTAGTAGTAGTAGTAGGAGTAGTAGTAATAATAGTAGTAGTAGCAGTAGTAGTAGCAGTAGTAGTAGCAGTAGTAGTAGTAGTAGCAGCAGTAGCAGTAGAAGTAGAAGTAGAAGTAGTAGGAGTAGGAGCAGGAGTAGGAGTAGTAGGAGTAGGAGTAGTAATAGTAGGAGTAGGAGTAGGAGTAGGAGTAGTAGTAGTAGTCGTAGTAGTAGTAGTAGTAGTAGGAGTAGGAGTGGGAGTAGTAGAAGTAGGAGTAGGAGTAGGAGTAGGAGTAGGAGTAGGAGTAGGAGTAGGAGTAGTAGTAGTAGTAGTAGTAGTAGTAGTAGTAGGAGTAGCAGTAGCAGTAGTGGTAGTGGTAGTGGTAGTGGTAGTGGTAGTGGTAGTGGTAGTGGTAGTGGTAGTGGTAGTGGTAGTGGTAGTGGTAGTAGTCGTCGTCGTCGTAGTAGTAGTAGCTGTTGATGTTTTTATGTTTTTTGTTGTTGCAGTAAATGTAGTTGTAGTCGTAGTGTAATGAGTGTAGTGTAGTATGATTAGTGAAGTGTATTGTGGTGTAGTGTAGCGTAGCGTTGTGTAGTGTAGTGTAATTAGTGTAGTGTGATGTAGCCTAGTATATTTGTATTTGTAGTTGTAGGTGTAGTTGTAGGAGTAGTCTTGTGTAGTGTAGTGTGATGAGTAGAGTAGTGTGATGTAGTGTAGTTGTAGTTGTGGTGTAGTGTGGTGTAGTGTAGTGTAACATAGTGTAGTCTAGTGTAGTGGTAGTTGAAGCCGTAGTTCTAGCTGTAGCGGTAGCTGTTGTTGTTGGTGGTTGTTGTTGTTGTTGTTGTTGTTGTCGTCGTCGTCGTCGTCGTGAACTTTTAAAAGTGGTACGAATGTGGTGTGGTTTTGAGGTTTTGACTTCAAAATGGTAGTTGAAGTTGTAGTTGTAGCTGTTGTTGTTGTTGTCGTGTCGTGAACGTCTAAAAGTGGTACGAATGTGCTGTGTATTTGACGTTTTGACGACTTCGACATGCGCTTCGCGCCACAACGGCGTGCACTTTTTCTACATCTCAACGTCCAAAAGTGGCGCGAACATGTGGTGTTTTAACATTTTGGCTCGAAATGCGCTTCGTGCCACAACGGCGTGCACTTTTTCGACATGTCTGTCAACTTCCAAAAGTGGTGCGAGCATGGTGTGTTTTGTACATTTTGCCTTGGAAATGTGCTTCGTGCCACAACGGCGTGCACTTTTTCGACATGTCAACTTCCCAAAGTGATCCGAGCATGGTGTGTTTTGTACATTTTGACTTGGAAATGTGCTTCGCGCTACACGGTGTGCACTTTTTCGACAGCTCAACTTCCAAAAGCGCCCCGAATGTGAGGTGTTTTTTTTTCCATTTGCAAATGTGCTTCGCGCCACAACGGCGTGCAACTTTTCATTTCTCATTTGGCCAGATGGCTCCGCACCCGCCGCTTTAGCGAGCCTACTTGTCGACCCTCCGGAGCCACAAATCATTGGAAAAACGCCGTGTTTTCGCGACTTTCCTACCTTTTCGCGCACTTGCACCTTCTTCCCACTCTTTCTCTTTTCTGATCTTCTCTCTTCTGCTCTTCTCTTCTCTGGCTCTTCCCACCTCTGCTTTTCCATCTGTCCATATTGTCGGAAGTTTCACTTCTAAACTTCCTTCGATAACTATGGGTTTCCTAAAACCTTCGGCCCCCAGGGACGGCCCCGGTCGCCTGGGCGTCGGAAGCTGCTACGGAAGCCGCTCCGTGCCGGAGCTGGAGAAGATGGAACCTGTGCCACTTGGCCGTTGGAGCCGTTGGAGCGGATCACCCGAGGATGTGAACAGTAAGACTAAGAATTACTAAATAGTGATAATAGTGATAATAGTCTAGTGATAATAATAATAGTGATTCTAAATATATAGTGATAAGAATAATAGTGATGTAATGGTGATATTTGATAGTGACAATAGTGATAAGAATAGTGATGATGATATTTAATTACTAAAAAATGTGATTCATCATTTTGTTGGGGGATGAAACAAAAACAAACCACCCATGACTGGGAATGGTAACCATGCCATCTATTTATAGTCATAAAAGATGACAATAGTGATAATAGCGATTAATTATTGATATTTTATTGTGATAAGAATTCACGATCTTCATGTAGATATTTGTGCAATTTTTTTGATTAATAGTGAGAAAAGTAGGAACATGATACATAAAATTATTAGTGCATACCAGTATTAATATACATCGTGTATAGTAATGTATTTCAATTGATTTATTTGTATCATTACATTTATATATAGTTATAGATATATGTTATATATATATATATATTTGTATCTATATATATATATGTATCATTATTTTTATATTCGTACCATTAAATATATATAGGTATCATTATTTTTATATTCGTATCATTATATATATATGTATCATTATATATATCATTATATATATATCATTGTATATATATGTATACATCATTGCATATACCATTGTTATATGATTGTATATATCATTGTTATATCATTGTATATTTCATTTTAAACCATTGTATATATCATTATATATCAATATATCGCTATATATACGAATCATTATATATATAATTATATTTATCATTATTTATTTTTCAAAAACGCACATATATATATATATCATTACATAGATATCATTATATTTATCATTATATGTTCATGATGTATAGCAACAACAGCGACAACGAACGACGACGACGGAGACAACAACACATAGGAGCAACAACGATTCTGATAAAGTGATATGTATATATACTGTTTCATACATTTCTGCAAAATATGCATGTGTTTTTAAATCACTAATGCCCATACATGCTTTCACTATCCTCCAGGTTTCGTAGTATCATCGCAATAGCGCAATTGTGTAATATCGTGTGATAGTGATGGTGATGATGATGATGTCGTTGTTGTTGATGATGACGAAAAGGTTGAAAATGAGGATGAAGAGGAGGAGGAGGAGGATCAGTAGTGATGATCATGTCAAAAGTTTCAGCAGCACCATCGCATTGAATTGGCGATTCAGAGTCGAAAACTGTACTTTGAACAAATCACTTGAACTGAATATCAAAAAACAACCTCAGGGAAAACAAACTCCAGTTTGACTTCGAAAAACATAGGATACACTCAGATATTGCCAGCATGATCCCAACCGCTTCGTGCAGTTTTTCAGGCGAGTGCTTCAAGCTTCGCCGGTGCTGAGTCGGAGGTGTGAACTTCGAGACAGTGGGGTGGTCAAAAATTAGGGACCCAACAACATGTTTTTGGTCGAGTAGTAACCATCTTGTTTGGGGCTGATTTAAGGTATCCAATGTCAAAAATTATAAAGAGGGAACCTTGCCCACAAGCACTAAATATGTAATTACATATAATCATATATATATATATAGTACATATATATATATAGTACATATATATATAGAACTAATATGTAGGTAATATTGACAGACAGTGGTTCATGTGGTTGGAATTTTTGGAATCATACTTGCTGACATGTTGCCTACTCCAATTTTTTGAGATCCATCGACCTCAATTCCGGGGGTTCCAAGAAACCATATTTGATGAGAATGGACAATAACATTTTTTTATTCGAACAAATCGAATCCAAGTAATTAACAGCAATCAGATATTTAAAAATCATTCGTGATTTCATCAGCTAAGCAATCATCTGAGATTTCATCGGATCTTCAAGACTATATGTTTGACCAGAACCCATAGGATCCATGTATGCCATATATGGTAACATTTACCATTAATATACCCCCAATGTTAGCATATGTACCAGCACCATGGATCCTATGGGATATGTTTGACCAGAATGGCTCTAAAATGATCAACATCGCGGATTGCCTCTGGTGATCACCAGAGGATCACCGTTACGGCCCTGCAGGACGCTGCATCCGACCATGTGGGCTTCGCCGAGAGAGCCGCTGGGCTAAAAGAAATCTGGCTGTTGGTACCTGAAAACAGGGGATTTCAATGGATTTCATATGATTTAATCAGTGAATCTAGGCTTTTGGGTAAATGATAGCATACCATTACCATGACGACCATTTCAGACATTTTTAAAGCAGATCGCTAGAAAACCTGGCATTTTTTTGAGTTTAATTGGGTCGATTGTGACGACCTCACTGCGCCATCACTGCAAATCATGGTTAGGAACCGATAGGAAACCATCCCAACATGATCTTTGTTGGCAGGTTGGTGAATTATTGAAAAAAATCACCGGACTTTAATCCATTTTATTGGGATATCATATGATATCATATGGTATCATGAATGATATCATTCATTAATGATACGGAATACGTACCCCTGACGAAAAAAGTCATTGTGAAAATGGTGGATTTACCCCCTGGGGATTGGGATTTATTTAGGAATATTGGAATCTTGGGTCATGAGGTTGAAAAACAAACAGAAACCATGGAAAAAAACATGGACAGAAACACCACTAAAAAAGCAGATCTTTAACCCGTGGAGCCCCATGGGTTTAACAAGAACACTTACAATTTACCCTAGCGTCGATTGACCCAATAAAGGCGAGGATTTCACAAAAATGATTGAATTAAGGACAAAGGGACTTCAGCCAAACAAACGCAGACTTATATAGCAAAGTGGCATCATAAAATCTTGGAATGATTGGAGGCTTTACAAACTACTACAGCGGTGTTGCCAGGGTCGTTGGTTAGGTCGCCATGTCCCAGCTACACCTGGCCTATCCGGGCCTGCTTTTCAGCACTTCAGCCCAGGACGCGGGTGGCCCCTCCGCGCTTGTACTGGCCAACCATGACTGGAAGGTAGGCTCACGGGGAGATAGGGCCAGATAGGGTTGGGGATGGTTGGGGTACTGAGATGGAAGAACCACGTTGATGGATCGGGAATGTCCCGAGGCTGCAAGTGTTGTTTTGGGTTGTGGTCCTCTGGAATCTACTGCTCCTCGGGATCGTAGACTTGGAGACCAGCTTCAGCAGACGGGTTCTTCTTCATCTCTGGTAGTGGCACAGCCCCATCGCCACTGCAGGAGCAACGACAACACTGTGGACATCACTTCAAAGTGACTTGGAGGAACAAATTTTCATCCCGGGAACTTAAAGTCTCGATTCTGGATTCATGTTTGGGAAAATCTAAATCAGTAAATCATAGTGAATACTTGAAATGAATAGAAACTAAAGATTTCAATTCCAGGTTTAAGGTTTCCCGTTATATCCCTGCAAAATCGCTATGTTTGATGGTTCAATCCCCATTATATCCCTTTTTTTGTTGGTTAAAATCACATCAAATCACAATTTTTGTTGGCCAAATCCCCACTATTGACGGTTCAATCCCACGAAATCTCATTAAATCCCATTTCCCCACATATTCCACATTGTTTTTGACAGACCCATGTTTGCGTCACGCAGCGCAAGGCAACCTGTGCGGCTGCTGTCGCCGGCCGTGTCACGGAGGCCCTTGGATCCCTTGGATCATGGGATCAATGGGATCCCCTGTCCTGGCCAAGACAGGATGCAACGGATTTCACCAAACACGGGCAGCAAATTGACCAATGAAGACTGGTGTTATATGCTGGCTGCCAAAAAGTCTGCGTTGGAAACGCAACACTCGCGCAGAAACAAGAGTTGATACTGTACATGTTGATACTGAGGTAAAAAAATAGGTTTCAATCGGGATTGTACATTCTAACATTCAGCTGATACCATCTACCCCAGGGGTTGGCATTTTCAACATCACGACCACAAGTCGACCTGTTGCAGATTAGCTCCCCAATGATGTGCAGGAACATTGAGCCCGTCTCGGTGGCCGACAAGCCGCAGCCCCATTGGCCCGACTTTTGGGCTTGGTGAGTTTTGTTTGGTCTTCGTTGGGCCAGATTCACCATGTGTTGGTTATATAATGTTATATATCTCATTGATATCCCCAGTAATATATCATAATATCCGCATAAATCCGCATTATCATGCGTTTTAACACCATTATTTTGTTTCGCTACTATCCTCTCCCAGAAAGTATGGACATGGACCATCAATGGTGATGAACCGAACGGTAGCCCCACAGTCTGTTTGGTCAGCAGAAACACGTGGTTACTGCGTTGCGCACCAAGAATTTGGTCCTATTACCCTCTGGTAAACTAACATAGCTATTGAAAATGACCATTTATAGTGGATTTTCCCATTAAACATGGTGATTTTCCATAGCTATGTTAGTTTACCAGAGGGTATGTCCTATTTTGAAACACAGCCCATACAAACATGATCAAACATGGCTCCCCATGTTTGTTCTTCATTCGTCTCCCAAGTTAGTTGGTTCATACCCCCCTCTGAATATATCAACATCTTGCACCCAGGGGGCAACAGATCATCCTGGCAGATGGATATAGATGGCATAGATTCTTTTTTGAGCATCCATAGATCAATGGAAGGCACCCTGATCCTCCAACCAGGGTATGACGTAATTTTTGCATATTTGATGGGTCAATACCAATGATACTCATAATGATACCATATTTGGGTGGATGAACATCGATTTCTCAGACATTTTGAGGCGAACAGCAGGGTATCGCGGTCTTGATCGAGGTAGCGATATCGTTGAAACGTCAAATCGAAGGTTGTTGGTCAAAACCAAAAATTTTCATTAATGTTCAAGTATCTTTATATAGATCTTGTTTTCATTAATGTACCTTGGTCAAAAGTTTTTTTTTTTTAAACCAATGAGGCTGGTAAAAACAGCGACCGACCTGTAAGGCTTGTAAGGCTTGCCGTTCTGGGATGGATGACCAGTAGAACTTTGTATCACCAATTTGTGGTGGTACCAAAGTTTCAAAGAATTTTCCAAATCAAGATACATATATATATATACATATCTGGTTAATCATGGTTAATAAGGGAAATCATCCCCAAATGACCTTAATTCAAGTTAGTGAAATATTATAATTTACCCATATATATATATATACTGTATATGTATAGAGAGGAGATCACATAAATCACCTTTGTAGTCCTTTGTAATGATTCATCATCTTTGGATCTCCATCATTTATCTAAATCTCACCCTGAATCAAGATAAATCAAGTACACACATAATGGACCATAATGGGTATATTGTATATATATATATATATTCTAAAATCTCCATTTTATTTCTTCCAGACTAATCCATATGACATTGTTTTACGAGCACCCCCCATTAATTGGGAGATCATCCCTAAGGCTATTGTCTTTTATCATTCATATTTGATGTTCGATTTTATCCATGAAAAACTCAATAAACCATCAAGCTATTGTGGATTTTCCCCATACGAAACCTCGCTCCACTAAATCAAACAGCTGATTATATCCACATATGAGCAACCGACAAAATTAGCGGAAGACTAAAGTAGTGGGGAGTGGACATGGGATCTTCAAATTTGTGCGAAAACATTCAAAACCGATAGGGGACCATCCACTTACCGATAATTACTCTATTTTCACACATAGCATGGAAGTACAAACCTTCACAACCGATAGGGGACCACCCACTTTGCAAATCACCTGAGGTTGTTGTCTCCCGCGGCGCCGTTCACCACTTCGGTGGCCTCGGTCCCGGTGTCGCCGCCCTTCAGCTGTCGAAGGGCTGCGGAGTCCTGGAATCCACCCCCAAGGCTGGGGATTGACAGGTGAAACATGGTGAAAGTAGTTTAAATATCTTATAAACATCATCAACATGTTCACTGATGTGCTTCGGCCCTGGATTGAATTTGGTGATGGAAACCATGCTGTGGGGCTATATTTGATATGTAGTTGACGGTTTATTGATGATTAGTTTGGGGGTTGCATTGGGGATTGTCATAATCCATGAACTAAGACTTCGCCATTGACAAACCAGAAATAAGGGATTTCCCAACCGCTTTTAGTTGCACTGCTTGCTTGTAATGTGCTAAACTGTTGATGAAGGGTGGGTGAACACATTTTGTGTCTATGAACAGGATATTGCTGGGCATTACAGTAATGGGAGTATGAAACCATAGCCATCATACTGGCTCATTAAGTAACAATAATATCAGACTTATTTGCAGATTATAACCCACAATAATGAGCCCCCTTATTTGGAGTTGTTTTGATGAGATGAAGGGTAGTTGAAAATATATCAATTCGTTGCTATGCTGATGGGGGCTTCTGTGATATCCCAGCTCCGAAATAATGTGGTGAACCCACTTAAACAACCCGGCGGGTGGGAAACTGCGCTAGCGGTGGAGCACGTTCTCGAAAAAAAACGCGCTTGGCGTTGTGGCGCGGTGAGCATTCTATGATCAACTTTGCCATAAAATTTGCCGGGCAAAATCAAGTCATTTTGAAGTGATCACATGGTATTTACAGGCTTTTGTGGCTTTGGCATGGTGGTGCATGGTGGTTGTTATAGCCGCTTCGGTCTGCCAAGCGCTTGCTTAGGACGTGATCGGTAAGCTCCAAGAACTTGACACGGCACCCTTGGAAATTTTGACGTAGCCGTAGCGTAGCATCGCTTGAATGTGCAAGTAACTTGCACGTTTTTGCCCCACCCCACCCAAACCCCATATTGAAAAAGTGGCCCGATTACACGCGCGGTTTTCCAGCCTCTAGCTTAAACAACATTAACATATCATATCCTGTCAAAAAACATCTTGGGTTGTTACTACAAGCCATACAAAACATTGGGATATTCTTCACGCCAATCGTCGTGTTTCAGGGCTAATTTCATCAGAGTTTAATTGGTGCTGATCCTATGTCATCCAGCATAAATTTTCATGCAGACATAGAAACCCAATAGATTTCAGTAGATTAAATATCCAAAGCTGGTTGTTTTGCTAGACCCACAGCCACTGAAATCTACTGATTACAGGTTGTTTTGCTTGGCAAATTCGTGGGTGTTTCCCACATCATTCCATATCTAAGGCGAGGTTGGGGACGAAATGAGGAGGAAAGTCGTGGATTGTCTTACTGTAAGGGAAAATCTGAACAGGAAACCATTGTGAACATATTCTTACCCCTAACATCCCCTAACTATTTAGGGTTGTCCTGCATATTTTGGACACCCCAAATATTTTGGGGGTTCCTGCATTTGTTCTTGTTTTAACTGGATTCCTGAAGAGATAACAAAAAGATTGCGGTTGCAACTAGTACAGAAAAGAAAATTGGGATATGATATGATTGGACAACACCACAATTGTGGATCTTAGTATTTAAGCAAAAACACGTGGGGAATTGGCAATGATATGATGGAGACAAAAGACCAACGTGGGTCAACGCTGAACAAACGCCTCCTGCTCACCCCAGAATAGCTGGTATATGGATTTTCATCCATGTTCAACCCCACAAATGTATCTGCATGATTGCAATGACCCCAATGTGCTATTCTCAGCTTAGTGAACTATTATATATGCTTCAGCCAGAATATTAATATCTTTCATCCATTAACCCCCACTAAATCCCATTTAAATGCCAATCAGTCCCTATTGTTGGTGGTGAATAAATGGAAAAATCATTGGGTTTTGACCCATTCCCAAACCACGAAGTTTTCCTGAAGCCATGGTGCGAGGCTGATCGAGCACGATTTCTCTTGGCCTGATCCTCTGTGAATGCTGTGTTTTGCTGGCGACAGTGACGGACAAAAATTGCCCATTTAAACTCCAATTTCATGGGATCCTATGGTGGTTCATGGGGATTTCGCCGACAAAAAATGGGAATATTAATTTGAATTACTCTCTGGCAATTCAATATAGCTATGGTATAGATGGATCATTTGCAGATGATTTACCTTTATAAAGTGGTGATTTTCCATAGCTATGTGAAATTACAAAGGGCTGCTTTTTTCCCCTAAATGCATCCGACACATGTTGAGTATAGGGTAGGCACTGGCTGTCAACTTCTTTGTTCAACACCACCATTGACGAAGAGCAGCTGGGTAGCATGGGTAGCCGCAAATCCACGTGGCCATTCGGAGGGTTATACTAATTTGGAGGTTTCCTGAAATGGGGGTACCCCCAAATCATCCATTTATAGATGGATTTTTCCATTACAAACCAACCATTTTGAGGATCCCCCATTGATGGAAACTCCCATTTAGTACGTAACGTAACAGACAAAATTATTGTAATACTAGTTTAGTCTTGCTTCGCCTCCTTCCTCAGGGGTGCACAAAACCTTCATTGCCGATAGGGGACGACCCTATACCGATGCCCCTGTTTTGCATGAGTCGCCTCAAAGTCTTTGAGCGCAGAAATCCTCACTACCGATAGGGGATGACCCTAATTTGCACATGGCATCAAAATGAACAAGTAATTTTGTCCGCCACTCATATGTTCATGATTGTCATTCCGTATTTGAGTCACCCTAGCATCTTCATCTGAGGCTATTTGTCAAATCTACACATTTTTTGATAAGTTTTTCAACAACCAACTGCTCCGTGAAAGTGGTGCTCCAGATCACCCATTGTTGAGATCCAAGGCAACCTGACCATGTTGAAACAAACGAGAGCTCGTTGGAGAAAGTGTCCGGAAGCCCTGGTTCTCTCTCTCTCTCTTCTCTCTCTTCTCTCTCTCTCTCTCTCTCTCTCTCTCTCTCTTCTCTCTCTCTCTCTCTTCTCATCTCCTCTCCTCTCTCCTCCCTCTCTCTTCTCTCTCTCTCTCTCTCTCTCTCGCATCCTCTCTCCTCTCTCTCGTCCGATTAATATATATATATGGTCCAGCATTCCAACCCCCCCCCCCCCCGCCATGGTCATGGGTCAGCCATAGTACTGTGCCCCTCCCCCCCCTGTGGTGTGGTGGGGGGTGTGGTAGTGTCCCCCTCCCCTCCCTGTGGTGTGGTGGGGTTGTGGTCCTGTCCCCCCTCCTTTCTGTGGTGTGGTAGGGTGTGGTACTGCGCATATATATATATATATATGTATATATATATATAAATATATGTTTATATATATATACGTCTATATATACATATGTATATATATATGTTATATATACATATATATATATGTATATATATATATACATATATATATGTATATATATATATGTTTATATATATATGTATATTATATATATATGTTATATATACACATATATGTATATATATACACATGTTTATATACATATATATATCTATATATACATGTTCTTATATATATATATATTCACATATATATATATGTATGTATATATATGTATATGTTATATATATATGTATTTATATACATGTAAAAGAATTTATGTATATATGCTGTTTTTTTTTTTTTAAATATGTATATATATATATATATTTGTTCATATATATATATGTATATATACGTTTATATATATATATGTATATTTATATATGTATATATACATAAATACATATATATATATATTTATTTTCATATGCACATACATATACATAAATATATATACATATAAATGTGTATACATATATATATACATACATATATATGTGTGTATATCTATATTTACATTTATATATATATGTATATATATATATTTACATATATATATAAGTGTGTATGTGTAAATAAATATATATATGTATGCATCTATAACATGTACTTTTTTAAATACATGTATATATATACATATACATAGGAAGTAGATACATTGCAGATGTACGTATGACTATAGGTAGCACGTAGGTACTTTGAGGGAGTATTTGTGCTACGTAGGTCGTCTAAAAGGTAGGATGTACCTAGTAAATGCGAGGCTGGTAGTCAGAAATGCAGCAAAGACTTAGCAAATACGAGGGTGGACCTCAGAAATGCTGCCAATAGCTTGCAAATAGAAGGGAAGGGGAGCAACCTGGGGACCCATACCATTGGGGTGGGGGTGGGGGGGGTAGGAACACGGAACACGAGACCATATATACGTATATATGCATATATATATATTTATAATGGGTAGAGTCTGGGGCGTGGGGTGACCACATGTTAATAATATGTGTATATATATACACATATACATAGACAATACTACGCTATGGATATATGTATGCATATATATATATCATACTATGTATACGCATACATAAAATAGACATGCGTAGTGACAGATGCCATTACGTGTTTGCAGCTCATATTCTGCACACATTGATTTGACGTCTTGACATGCAGTGCCACCTACATCTGTCATGAAGTCATGAGCAAGGATGTTTTTGCGACACAATGAACACATTGATACATCGGTAGCTTGCATGGAGACACCTGACAAAAACACAACCCGATCACATGATCCTTTTTGACAGCAAAATTGTGGTTGCATTGATTTGGCAGGTTGAAACTCTATTTGAAGGTAGCAAGGGGCTCATCAAAATCAGTCACTGTTTGAACCATAGGTTCACTCTCCTTTACTAAAGTGACTTGCCATGTTCTCCTACTCCCTGCATACAAGGTGTAGGACACAAACACGCGAGTCTTGTTTATTTTGTTTTGTTAAACATGTACATTTTAAAGACACTACGAGGTACACAAATTATACAAGTCGCAGATCCAAACCCTGAGTCGGGTGTGTCTGAAACTTGGGTACACCCCAGAAATGGCGAAGCGGAACATGATGTTCGAACCTGGATTCCGGGGGTTTTCCCATCATGTTCAGACAAGACCACGACTGTCAGCTTCCAGCTCACCGGCACCGCCAAAAAAGGACCCGAGCTGTGCCAGAAGCTGGATCTCCTGTGGTGCCGACAGCTCAGTCTCCCCCCAATGTTACCCACAGAATTGAGTGTTGGGTTGTTGGGTCGAATCATTTTGGGGTCCCAGATTTGGAAAGGATTAGCAGTCTTGCTATGAGTAGATGAAAATATCTCAGAATTGGCGGGAAAAATGGTCAGGAACCCCCTACCATTGTGGTTAAAGGCCTTTCCCAGAAACCAATCAATTGAAATCCCATCTTTTGCTGCAAAGTGGGTGCCCCCCCACAATTATAAGTTGGTGCATACCCCCATGACCTAGCTGGCTTTCATACCTACCACAAATCCTACTTAACCAAGTTACAAGTCAACTTAGCTACCTAGGGGGGCCCCACCTTGTGGTTAAAGGACCACCTTTTGGATGGATAACAAATCCTCTCGGAGGCCCAGGTCTGCGATGTCCCTGGCTGCGCCAGTGTTTCAGTCGTTGGGGGAGCCCATGACTTGGGCTTCAGGCGGAGGGTAGTTCGATGATATTTACTTCATATTTCCAGGTTGCCAACTATTTTTCATTTTGTTGGGGTGACTATAGCAGTATATAGCTGGTCGTAGATCTTCTGTTTCTTCTTAATATAGCAATAAAATGCAATGAGAATAAGTGGTACATCATTACTACTCGAAGGAAGTTTAGAAGTTAGAAGAAAGAAGATGCAGGTGCGCGAAAAGGTAGGAAAGTCGCGAAACACTGTGTTTTTCCAATGATTTGTGGCTCCGGAGGGTCGAAAAGTAGGCTTGCTAAAGCGGCGGGTGCGGAGCCATGTGGCCAGATGAGAGATGAAAAATTGCATGCCGTTGTGGCGCGAAGCACATTTTCAAGTCAAAATGTACAAAACAAAGCAGGTTCGGACCACTTTTGGAAGTTGAGATGGCGCGAAGCACATGTCGAAGTCAAAACGTACAAAGCACCACATGTACGCGCCACTTTTGGAAGTTGAGATGTTGAAAAAGTGCACGCCGTTGTGGCGCGAAGCACATTTCGAAGTCAAAACGTTAAAAGCACCAGGGGTTCGGACCACTTTTACTTTTGGACGTTCAGATGTCGTTTCGCGTGGCAGGCACAAGGGATTGTGCACCTTCTCAAAAGTGAGCAAAACGTGAGGGTTTTGTAGAATTTCCAAAAACGATGGCAGGCGTGGGACATTTGAAGAGGATCTGCAAAGATGCATTTTCCATGGCAGCCGCAGTACAAGAGACATGTTTCTCAGAGCTGTTAGGAGGTTCGGGCGCTGATTTCCTGAGATGGGTTGCATTTTGGAGCATCAGATCTGCAGGTTTGCTAAGATGATTTTGCCTGACAGATGCAGCACTTCGTATGACCTGGCATCAATTTTTCGTGGCAGGCGCAGTACTTTAGACAGGTGGAGTGGAAACATCGCAGTACGAGGCCGTCAGCGCTGCACTCAACTTTCGATTTTTGAAGGAAGTCTTGCAGAATTGCTTCGTTTTGGATGTTGTTAAGTTCAAAAAATGAAGAAGTCTCGCAGAATTGCTTCGTTTTGGATGTTGTTAAGTTCAAAAAATGAAGAAGTCTCGCAGAATTGCTGCGTTTTTGATGTTGTCAACTTCGAACAATGAGGAAGTCTCGAGGAAGTCTCGCAGAATTGCTTGGTTTTCAAGCTGGCAGATAGACAGGTAGATAGATAGACAGACAGACAGAGAATAGATAGATAGATAGATAGATAGATAGATAGATAGATAGATAGATAGATAGATAGATAGATAGATAGATAGATAGATAGATAGATAGATGGGTCGATAGCTAGATACACAGTCAGATAGACAGATGAGATAGATAGATGGACGGATGGATGGATGGATGGATGGATGGATAGATAGATAGATAGATTAGACAGGTAGATAGATAGATAGATAGATAGATAGATAGATAGATAGATAGATAGATTAGACAGGTAGATAGATAGATAGATAGATAGATAGATAGATAGATAGGTAGATCGATAGATAGATAGATAGATAGCTATTTAAATAGATAGAAATATAGATAGATAGATAGATGGATAGATAGAAAGATAGATCGCTATATAAATAGATAGATAGATAGGTAGATAGATAGATAGATAGATAGACAGATAGATAGATAGATAGAACGATAGAACGATAGATAGATAGATAGATAGATAGAAAGATAGAAATATAGATAGATAGATAGATAGATAGAAAGAAAGATAGATAGATAGATAGATGGATCGATAGATTGATCGATAGATCGACAGATCGATAGATCGATAGATAGATAGATGGATAGATGGATAGATGGAGAGATGGATAGATGGATAGATGGATAGATGGATAGATACACAGATACACAGATGGGAGAGAGAGAGAGAGAGCCAGAGAGAGAGATAGATATATGGATAGATAGGTAGATGGATAGATAGGCACATGAGAGAGAGAAAGAGAGAGAGAGAGAGAGATAGATAGAAAGATAGATAGATAGATAGATGGTAGGTAGGTAGGTAGGTAGGTAGGTAGATAATCAGAGAAAGAGAGCAAAAGAGAGAGAAAGAGTGAGAGAGATCAATCACCTTTCGATCCATCAGTGGCCTCGCTCTGCCATCCCTGATTCACAGCAACCAACCTCTCCTATAGGTTTCCTATTTGTGAAACTTCCGCCACCACCTTGTGCGGTACTACTGGAATACCAACGAGGTTTTTTAACCATTTGCACTGTAACATGTCGGGACTTGAAACCAACTTCATTCAAACTCAAAATTTGGGGTGCATGATCTCAGGGCCATGATGGATGATCTTCCGATGCTGGCCAATTTAAGCTTGGTTTTTCACAAGAAAAACACGCAGCAGTTGGTTATTCATGGTATATAATGATTAAATTATATATAAAATTTGTATAAGTTCACCATATATTGTAGATGACCAATTCAACATGATGTATAGATTATATTATAATTTTGATTATATTATGTATAATGTGGATATATATATATACGTGTATATATATATATACACATATATATATAAAGCATGTTAACCATGGGGTCGTCCTCTCCTATGCAATCCACTCCCAGGTCGCGTGCCACCTTGGGATCCACGTCAGATTGGAAGATCTCCTTCAATCCAGTCGTGAAGAGGTGAGGGATCCAAGAGATCCAACGGATCCAAAAAATCCTGTTTTCAAACCTGAAAATCACCAATTTCGAGTGGAACCTAGTCTTCCAACCCCCGAAAATTGCAGGGTCTATGTTAATTTATATCAGTTTACTGGAGGGCATACTTTATACAGTAATTCTGAATATTTCTTGGAATTGGCAGTGAAGAAAGGAACTAGCAGATGATTTACTTTGGCCCCTCATTCTGTCGATCGTGGCTGTGGGATCAAGACTCATGGAACATTTGGGGGGGTCTATTCAGACCCAAACTTGTCATCTGTTTTTTTCCTGAAATTGGGATACCCCAAAAACCAATGGCTGATCACGGCTGATCATCATTTTCCCAGAAATGGCCGTTTGGCAAGGAAAAAACACATGTTTGGACAAACGGCCCATCTTATTCTTATTTATTCGTTCTGCAATATATTTTAGCACCTGGTTCCACCAAGTTGTCAGGTCGATCTTGACACCAGGAGCTCAGGTGGGCTTGGTGGGCGGTGTGTTTGTTTCTGGGATTCCGTGAGCCAACCATGGACCTTGCCCAAATTTGGGATATGAAGCGATTACCCTCTGGTAATTTAACATAGCTATGGAAAATCACCATTTTTAATGGGTAAAACAACTATAAATGGGTCATTTTCAATAGCTATGTTAAATTACCAGAGGGTAAACCGGAGATGTTCAGCAACAATAGTTGGACCCAACTTGCAAAGGTCTGGAAACTTATGTTTTTTTTTTGTGCCAGCCTCGATGGTGATGCCTCCCGATGGCAGATGTTTGAAGCCCCAGGTGGCGGTATCTCCTCCAGTGAGGCTGGGATCAAACGGCTTTATCATGCTTTATCCAGAAATGGGTGAATGTCGAGCGATCACTATGCATGTCTTCCTATGTTTTCCGGTAAATGATCAGTGGATTGGTTTCAGGTCAAGTTATCTTACCTCGAGTGATCCCCACCCTGACACACTATTCTGACAATTTCTGACATAGTTTCTGACATATCACCTGGAAGTATATATGGCATATATATATATATTCTGACATTCTATCTGACATTCTTTCTGGCATATACTCTGACATTCTTTCTGGCATTCTATCTGGCGTCTATTCTGACTTACTTTCTGGCATATATTCTGGCAATCTTTCTGGCATTCTCTCTGGCATGCGTTCAGCTGCCTCCAGAGCTTGCGATTCGATAGGATTCGGGTCCATGCGTGCGGGTCCAGGCGTGCCCAGCTGCATCCGGAGCTCACAATAAGTCGCAATAGGTTCGGGTTCAGGCTTATATCTGGAGCTCGCGAGGGTTCGGGTGCCCGGCTGCCTCCAGAGCTCGCGAAGGGCTTCGGGCGGGTCAGGTGCCCAGTTGCCTCGGGTCCCGAGCTTGATATAGAGCTAAGGCAGAGAAGGAGAGTGAGGTGGAGTGAGGGAGTGAGGCACAGCATTGTTGTGAAAATCTAGAGACTTTCACCTTGAGGGGAAAAATACACCTAGACCGCGGATTTCCCTATGAAATCTGGGGTTTTCAAGAGTCCCTTAAACGAATCCATGGGACCCCAGAGTTGGATCATTTTTAGTCGTCCAATGGTCCAGGTCGTTCTTCCCGTCGTATCCGATGGCCCGAGGGCCCAGAAATCGATATCTTGGAGGATCTGGATGTGGAGAACTGCAAAGTAAAGTCCTTCAGAAAATATTATTTTCTTTCAACTTTCCGGGGAACAGCAGCTTGTATTGCACGTTTCATGGGAAAACATGATAATAAGTTATATGATGTTATATTATATTTCAAGTTTCCAAATTTTGAGACAAAGTCAGGTTCTTTTCCGAAATGAGATATGTCGCCAAAATTGGTGACCCCTCAGATCCCAGATTCCGCCATGAAATCGTTTGCTTAGGGCTTAGGGATGTTTCTGGGAAAATAATACCAACTCATCGCAACAAAGTACCTTATTTCAAGTGTGTGAAGCATAATTAAATTACCATCATGTAGAGGCGGGGCGGAAGCGGCCTTAGGGTTGTACTATACGACCTTTTCATTCTATCATGCGCCGTGCGCCAGCCAGGCCCGTGCGTGAACTGCTGCACTGTTGTTGTCTAAGAATATGGCCCACAGCAGCTTTCACACAGCAAGTTTTTACACACAGAAGCTTCTGGACACAGAGGCTTTTACACACACACACAAACTTTTACACACAGCAAGCTCTCACACAGAGAAGCTTTTACACACAGAAGCTTATACAGACAGAAACTTTTACACGCAGAAACTTTTGCAAGCTTTTATGCACAGAGTTTTTACACAGGAGCTTTTCCACACAGCAAATATTTTTCACACAGCAAGCTTTTGCACAGAGAAGCTTGTAAACATAAATTTTTACACAGAGAAGTTTTTACACAGAGAAGCTTTTGCACACAGAACCGTTTACACAGAGAAGCTTTCATGTACACAATGGCAACAGAAATTGCAGCTCCAAACCGGAGCTCGGCGCCAAAGCGAAAAAAAGAGGATTTAGAAGCCCTTTTTAACAGGTCCGGGATTTTAAAAGGAAAATAATCAGCGCCAAATTTGAGAAAAACTGCTGTAAGCCACCAACGCAACCTTGAGCAGCCACTCAAATATGATTTGCGATGCCCAGTTGCACAATAACATAGAACTACGCGTGCAGCCGTCGATGCAGCCATGCTAATACGATTTGCAACGGCTAGTTGCAAAAGACCATAGAGCTACGCGCAATGGCAACGGAAAGTGCCGCGCCAAAACCTGATCTCGGCGCCAAAGCGAAAAAACATTTTTTGACGCACTTTTCAAAACGAATTCTGAAAGGAAAATGGTTATCGCCAAAATTGAGAAATCTGCTGGCAAATCACCATCGCAACCTTGATGGAGCCATTCTTCCATTACCATTTACGACTCCTGGTTGCAAGAGACAAAAGAGCTACGCACGCAGCCGCCGCAGCAAGAAGCGCTGATGAAACCATTCCAATGCGATCTGCCCCCCAAGGTGGCAAACCGGCATGCACATACGCACATGGCACCACAACATGACAACCATTATAGAGCAATTCCAATGCGATCTGCAACCAGAGATTCCACAGGAGCATAGAACTGCAGTGTGCAGGAACATGTGAAACATCTCGAAACAGCCATTACAAGGCGGACTACTCTGAGCCTAGGTATAGCTAGCCCGCACCCGCCTCACAAAGTTACAGCCACTTTACACGAGAAAACACAAGGCCCCGCGCCCCAGCATCCTCCCCAAAAGAAGTCGCATGCAACATTCGTGCTTCCATTACAATGCGCTCTGCACTGCCAAATAGCAAACCCGAAAGTATCTATACATACATGGCAACAATTGGCAACATAATATGGCAACAATCGTACGTACAGCCATTCCAATACGATCTGCACAAGACTAGACTATACAACACCATTTTTCACAATACATCACAAAACTAAATTACACTAAGTCGCACTACACAGGACTAGACCACACTTCACCACACTACACAAGACTAGACTACACCAGACCACTCTCCACAAGACTAGACTACATTAGACCACATTGCACAAGACTAGACTACACGAGACCACACTACACAAGACTAGACTACACTCGACCACACCACAAAATACTAGACCATGCTAGACCACACTACACAAGACTAGACTACACTCGACCACACTACAAAAGACTAGACCACGCTAGACCGCACCACACAATGCAGACTACGCAAGACCACACTACACAACACTAGACTACACTAGACCACACTCCACAAGACTGGACTACGCTAGACCACACTACACAAGACTAGACTACACTAGACCGCACTACACAACACTAGACTGGACTAGACTACACTAGATCACTCTACACGCACACACACACACACGCACACAAGACTCCACTACTGTATTTGTCCGTAGCTCTGAAGAATGCTTCCCAACTTTCTTTGATAACATGGGTGCGTCTGAAAATTGGGTATACCCCCAAGCAGCAATTTTGATGGGGAGAATGATCAACCACGGGATATTTTTTTTTATGTTTCCCATGATTTTCAGACAAGCGAACTAGGCGCGAAAGCCAGCTGAAGCTCCAGTGGTCTTCAAGACACCTCCAGTGGTTGTCCGGTGCCTTGCGTTGCAA